TGCTCCTTTGATGAAAGGATTACTGACCAAAACATTTGTTGAACATGTTTAAATAATGTGTCTTATAGATAACAATGAATGATTTTTGTAAAGATTTTATCATGTTTATATAATTGACACTATGAGCTCAACTATATATATGTTTCTGTTGTAACCTGTTTTCTCTTGTATACGTTATGTTGAGAATCACGATGACATTTTGTGTTTTAGATAAAAGATATTCTAAGCATTATTGCAGACCCGTTATGTATTTGAAAGGTTGTGTTAGGCAATAGATTAATATTGTAGTGCATGGAAGGACTATGTCAAATAAAGTGGTGTACAACTGTCATGACTCATAGTAGTTGATTTATTTAATAACGATGAATGATGTTGGATTTAAAATTGTTCAAATGATGATAAAGATGCATATTGAACCATTAAATTAAAGGTTGTGCGCCAAGTGGGACAATGTAAATTTCTATGGCCCACTAATTATATTTTGGTTTAATATTTAATATAATTTGAATCCAAAATATGTGTGGAGAAGTGGGGAAATGGAAAAGTTACATACATGTGTGAAAAAGTGGGTAAGTTACTTAGTAACTTCCAACTACCCATTAAGTCTTCCACTAACCATTACCTCTTTCAACTTCCCATTAAGTAGCGGCATACTTGATAGTTTTAAAACTACCCATTATATGAACTACTCACCATGATGGAAAGGTGGGACTGATGTAAAAAAAATACTCTTAATTAAAGGGCCTTCTCTCTTGCATAAATATATAGTTTTATCCATCAAAATTATTCTTAAAGTATAAGGCAAGAGAGAGAAACAACTTGTGAAGAACGAAAAGAAAGAAATGACTTCCGCTCAATTCAAGTCAAGATTCTTTAAAATCACTATGACTTATTCGGGTATGTATTCTTGATTGAATATAATATTAATAGATTTATGTGAAAATCATATAATGTTATGATCATGAATAATTTATAGGATTTATGAATGCATATCTTGTTGATGTTTTCATAACCCATTAAAATTCCTAATAAGTGACGCAAAATTCTAAAAATAATAAACAAATATAAGATAATGTTCGAACAAAATGAATAACATCTAATTATTTAACAAATGTAAAAAAAATTGAGTGAAATAAATATAATAAATATTCCTAATTTTTTTGAATCTCCTAAATTTATGTCAGTTAACAATTATGATCAATGAATTCAAAATTAACTAATATACCTTTATTCGTTTTTATCTTCTTCATATTTTTCAAATTTGATTTTTTTTTCCTTTTTTATATTTTTTGTTTTTTCAAAACTGATTTTTTACAATTACATTTATACTGCTATAACTAGAAATATTTACTAATGTCATTTTATAAAATTTTCAAATTTATTAAAATCATTAGTTCTTTTTTTATCCCACAAAATCGACATGACAATAGTTAAAATTGAGTTAAAGATATATATTTAGGATTTTCTGATATCCAAAAATCCAAAGTATCGGATATGATATACAATTTTAAATTCATAAACTTTAAAAGTTAAATACATAGTCCAATTCAATTTTGAAAAACTCAAACAAAATATCCAAAAAAAACTTACTTTAGATTTGAATTTTTGTTTGCCTAGACAATGCTTACCTATATAGGATTAGACAAAACTTGTAGGGTTAAATTAAAACTATATTAATTATATCAAAATATCCATTGATCTTTTGGTCTTAAATGTCATATGAAAAATTGAGGTTAGAAAGTCGTGTAAAATGAAAAACATAGTCTTTTTGAAAAATAACTTAAAGAGAAAGTAAAACAACAAAATTGAAAGAGAGTGAATAACAATTTTTAAGGATTATACAGTTTGGAGCGATGAATATTCATTTAAAAATATCTGAAATTAATATTATGACAGGTCATTAATTAGGGGGGGGCAAAGAGAGATACTTTTCCATAAGAAGGTTCCATTATTTTCATATTGTTAACTAACTTATATATTTAATAGAGGTGGAGTTAGGTAAGGCGGAGTTAGGAAGGGTTAATAGGCTCAGTCGAGTCCACTAGTTTTTTTTGTAGATCCTATATTTGTATTAGAAGATTAATTAAATATATGTATATGAACAAGTAAACCCCCAAATAACGTTGATCTAGAACTCCCAAACTCATAACTTTGACTTCGCCTATATTAAATAATTTGAAGACATTAATTTTGTATAACATCCATTATTTATTTTCGAGTGGATGTAATTATAAAATATTAGAAATATCTTAAATTGTTTGATTCTCAATTTTATAATAATCAAGTCAAGATTTAACCTAAAAAATTGAAGTAGTAACTGAATATTGTGGGAGATGAGATATGTATTCAATATTTCAACTATGGGTTTTGCCTGCATAAATATTGCCACCTGAACTTAAAAAAAAATACCACATTCTTTAAAATTTAAAATATGTTAAATATTTAAACTATTTAGACAAATCACACATTCTATATAAAGCCTGCATGTATCTCACTAAATTTGTAAACATTTTCTTATAACAAAATCTCACTCAATTCTAAGTAATGGGGTTTGAAAGGTAATTTCATCTCTAAATTAGAGATGAAGTGTGCTGGAGATTTGCTTTATGACCACTTCAAATCAAATCCACACCAAACATTCACCATGTCTCCTGATTAGGTAACGAACTTCACATTGCATGATGGTCAATTTGGGAAAAACTAATTATGTTATTGGCTGAAAAATCATCCTTGGTAAGCTTCTTATATTATTCCAGTTTCAATTGGCTATGGTAGAAGCGATCGATTATTTAGCATTCATTTTTGAACTTAAATTATTTTCTTAATATGTTCAGGGGGCAAAGAGCCATTTAAAATAGGTCGTACACGTAGATGATGCAGCAAAATCGATGACCTTCAATTTTATTGAAGGATATATGAATGAATTATATAACTCAATGATAGTTATATTAAATGCAAAGGAGAACTGGATTACTTGGAGCATGTTGTATGAAAAACTGAATGAGAATATTCATGAGCCCCTTGACTTTATGGATTTTCTTATTGGCCTCATCAAGGACCTTGCGACTCACCATGTCGGAAAATAGATCTCAGTCCCCATTTCCAATTAATAACAAGATTGAGTATTGTTACTATCCTAAATCCTTACGAATAAATAAGACTATTTTTGTGATGTTTCACCAGTACAATGGTATATTATCTGTATAATAAATATCTTTATGAATAAATAAAACTATTTGGTGAGATATATTTTTATGAATTGTGCTCATTATTAGTAATATATATTTAATTTTTTTTAAAGAAAGTTTAATCCCCAGTATCATTATATGTAATGCTCTGAAGTATTCATAATTAATTGTATAAAATAACCAAACACCTAAAATTTAATATTCAAAAAATTATGAAATTATAAAAATATCTTGGAGTATATCTACTGATTATCACTATACTTTAAATTAGTTATATAATATTGGACTCAGTTGACCCCTAATAGAAGAAGCATCTAATATGTCTCATAATGATATAAAGGTCAATAGTTATTTGATCAAAATAAAATCTTAAATCATGGTTCATATAATCGATCCTTTTCGGCTTAAAATCAATTTCTCAAGATAGAAATGGAAATTAAGAATTAGAGGCGTACATGCCCGGGTTAGTTTAGGTTTTTCAAATATCAAATCCAATTACGATGTGTTTGACAAAATGACTATACTGGACCTTAATTATGAGATTATTAAGTAAGCTAGTAAGTATTTTTGTACATTATTCTTTATATTTTTCTTAGTTGGGTTCACTTTATGATACTTAAAGTTCCTTCAATACGATCCTTGGCAGTTTCTGCTGCCTGCCTGCAAATACAATTCAATTCAGCCCAATCAACACACAACATTATAATTAAACTATACAAAACATAAAACAACAAACTTAAATTAACATTCAAAAGTATCTAAATCACAATTCAAAGATTAATAAAGTCTTTCAAAATTCGTTTCAAAATTTTAAAAAGTTCATAAATTAAAAGAGACTTAAACTAGGGAGTGATATCTACAAAATCATCATCATCCTCCTCAATGTCGTCATCGATGTCCTGGGGAGACAAAGTAGTAGGTCGATGAGCGAGGTTCTGCACTTGTTCCTAAATTTGTTGAACGGTCTAACTCATGCTTTGTTGTTCAGCTACTCTTCTCTACTCTGACGACTCAGCTAGTGTCGATGTAAGTAATGCTATTTAAATTGACATAGAACAATGTCAAGTTTCTCGACTTGATATGATGATCCAATACCTTGTATGTGTGATTAGAGTTGTCTTACATTGTTTCGAGAGCCTAGACAATAGACTCTACCTTTGTGTGTCCCCCCACCCTCCACCACTTTTTCTACCTAAATTTGGGTGGACAGTTCAAGTGTCATTTGGAACAAAATATCTAGATTTTCAGTGACACACTGACAAAACTCATTCTACATATTAAATATCAACATTGACATCAATATATATGTAGATATATATATATATATATATCACCACACCATTTTAGGCCTAAGACAATCTAGGTAAAGTGTAGCCTAAAGTAGCAAAAGATGTGGCCTTTGATAACGGTACACTTTTTTACTTTTGGCAACACTTTATAGGGGGTGACCTAAAGAAGCATAACCCTTGACATTAGACAACACTTTTGAAGTGTTGCCAAAGCAGCAACGCTTAAAAAGTGTGGCAAGAGGTATAAAGGCTACACTTTTGAGCATTTCATTAGTAACACTTTTATCTAATTATACTACACTTAAAAGTGTGATTTTCGCGTTGTTATTGGTTTCACTTTAAAATTGTACCCTTTTTATATCTCACCTAAAACAACACTTATAGAGTGTAACTTTTCTTATGTACAACATAAAATTTATAAACAATAAGCCACACTTCTGATGTGTGGCAAATGTAGATTTTTTGTATAATTATATAAAGCACAAAATTAAATTATAAATAATTTCAAATTATAGATTTCAAATTAAATAAACTTCAAGAACATCTCTCATACATATAGAAACACAGAGAAATCAATTACCTAAATATCTGTAGTAGCAATACATTCTACAAACCAAATGTATTTAAACAACATTTATGATAATTGTACAAACTCTTTATCGTTCACTACAATAGATCGAGTTTAGTTTTCTCCTCTATACATCAAAATTTGATCAACAACATTTTCCTGCACATTAAAAATTCATTAAAAGTTAGAGAATCATGTATTTCATATGCTGACTATATTGTTCAACACTCAGCCCCTTCCCAATCCCTTTACAGTTAAATGATCACTAAACATGTACAAGAACTAAAAAATATTGGATATAACAATAGGGCATGTTTTCAAAGTCTGTCACAATAGAAAAATATGATTGATTAAATAAATTAGGAAGAAAACAATAGGCAAAGAGTTAAATGATCCCAAACTGCATGTATAAAGCAGAGCCAATATGAATGATAAAATCTTGAAGAAAACAACAGGCAAACATACAAATGAATAGAATACATATGATCAAATACTCTTAGAAACTATTGACTCCAACTCTTTTTTTAGAAGAAAAGAAAAGCCGGAACATAAATGAATAACAACTCAACTCAGTCTTCCTTGATAAAACAGGCAAGATCACACAGATCTTACAAAAAAGTTAATCAGTTAGACTGGCCTTACAACCTCTGAAAAGCATCTTCCCCAAAATCTTTCACTTAACTGAGAGTAAACCCTCCAAGCTTTTATATCAATGTAGTGAGCATATCTACTACCATCACATTTTATATTCTTACAAAGGCTCCTAATTGACAAGTCGATATGACCAAATATTCTATGCTTTCAAATTGATTAGAACGATTGACTCATCCACATATGCAGCAGTAGGTAATAAACTAGTAGAGCCGCAAACTTATGTGTGAAAAATATTTCTAAACTCCAAGCTTCAGTAGTAATAAGAAATTATCAAATGCAGATGCCCTCTGTTTATATCAAAATTAATAATTTTAATACTCACAAACATATCCAACCAATACTGGAAAACTTAACAAGCATGTGCTAAGAACAAATTTTGGGTTTTAGGAGATTTATCAAAGGTGAGGCCAGTGAATATGAACTTCAAAGATAACATTATAATATGACATAAGTAAATAGTTTATTGAGAGTGTCTTCAAGAATCAGTGATAAAATTGCACATTCTCATCAGATTTAATGAAATTTGGAGACTTTTCATTTTCCTATAAAACTAGCCAACAAAATTGATTGATATTGATCACAACAAGTACCAAAGGAACTTATAGTAGCATAAATAAGTTTTCAGTAAAACAGCAAACTACTCAATTATATTACACCTTTCAACATGCACCAATAACAGCTTTATATAGAGAAAGAGATTCAATGAAATATGTACAAAAAGGTCAGTAGTACTGGTCAAAGATGTTTAAGCTCAGTAATGACAATTCCTTCATTTGCATAAGAAAAAATAGTGCACAAAGAAGGTTTTTTTTTAATAAAAAAATCGAGATGCACACAATAGAGGCCAATCAGTTCAAACCTCATCCTCAAGGCACTGCTACTGTTTTTGTGTCAAGAATATAGTTTAAGATTAAAAATCACCTTTGATCCAAATCAACATATTTTCACAAGGTTCGAATTATTTTAGAGGAAAAATTCAAAATATTACAGGAGAAACGGACAAAAGCAGAAGAATACAGCAAAAGGAAGAAAGAAAGTGTTCTTGGCTGGAAGTTAATTCAGTTCTATAGGTTTGACAGTTCTGAATTCTAAAGTCAGAAGTATGGCCTTATGCAACAGTTTTATTTGTAAAACGAGCTTAGAAAACATATAAATTAAAACATAAAGGAAGATTGAATAGAAAAGGTTCATACAGAAAAATGAGCAAAAAATTTCTGTGGTGATAATTATCATGAGCAAAAAATTATACATTTAGAAAGAAACAAATAACAAAATATTTTTAATGAAATGGGATGAGGTTTTACCATTGTTGAGTTCTAACTTGTGCGGGCATCAATACGACTAGAAGTCACTAAATGTAACACTCCATACATTTCAATGTTGCCTCCAAGTGCAGCATACACATTTATGTTTTGTTAGAGTAACATTAGAAAAATAATTGATTGATATTCAAGCTTGATGATACGTGAAACACCATTTTCAGGAACCAAATTATACAGATTTGTTTCTACACAGAACCCTCTGATTACCAGCTATAAAGAGTGCCATAGAATTGTGAGGATGATTTCCATATTGGTTTAACATCAGCAAAAAATTCAAGAATTATCATCTTCCCATGTGGAACAGAATGTAAAAGTAATTGTTTGAAAGCAAAAGATAAAATAAAGTAAGAACAACAGTCTGCAAATTATCGGAGTCTGATAGTGAAAATATGTTCTTCTCAAGGGTGCGATGTTTTGTTGTTAAAAGATTGACTTCACAAATATGGAAGTAATAGGGAGATCAGATTGTCCTCTAAACTGTGAATTGTGGCATAAAAAAATAAAGTGCCACATAAGTAACATGATCAATAACTTTTCCTGAAGACGTTAGTAATCACCACATAAATGACGGAAAACCTACAATACCTTTAGATGCTCAAGACATGTCATTTAGTACTATCCAAGTACACTGTATCACTCAACACAAAAGCTCCCCATGAAATCTATATTTGTAATGAATTCATGAAGATGACGACACTATTCAAGATAAACGATACTATTACATACTATTACATATATATATATATATATACACACACACACACATGCGCAGAAGCAGACAAACATAAGTACAGATAATTATTATTCTAAACTTCCACGAACATGAATATTGGATTAGAAAAAACAATGATGGAAGAGATAGAGAAGTTATACCACCTTTCTAGTCTTGAACAGAATATTTTCATGCTGGTACAAACAATTTACTGTTTCAAATCAGAAGACGAAAGGAATGAGAATGAACAATATTTAGATATCTAACACTCTATCCTATCATCTTGTAGACGAAGAGAAGAAACATCAAGTGGTTCCCTTCTATAAAGAACATATTTCCGATCTTCATATATGAAATATTTGGAAATGACTAGCTACAAAGATATATGAACACATCATTCAGTCAAAAAAGCAAACCACAAGCAGTGTACTGCACAAAGTTACAAGAAAAAGGACTAGAGATGATTTTAAAAAATATAAGATAAATGCATTTATGGAGGGAAGAATTCAATAGCAACATGTCATAATTATTTAAGTCTGTGCAAAGCTAACTTTTCAGGATTATTTTTCATCTAATAATTGAGAACACATAGCGGCAAATGGGCTTGGATCTCTAGTTTTCTTCATTCCTTCCCATGACAATAACAAGAATGAAAAATTGGGAATATCAAGGCCACCAACCAGACTTCACAGATCCTGTGGTCCTTTCTGTTCATAGAGGTGGATGTACAGTAGAAGATTTTTGTAATCACATACATCGGAGTCTTGTTAAGGATTTGAAGTATGTGTTGTTGTGGGGTACTAGTGCAAGGCACTCCCCCAGTATTGCGGCCTCACGCAAATGCTTGAGGATTAAGATGTGGTGCAGATTGTTAAGAAAAATGAGAAGGAATATGGAGGAGGTAGAGGTTGGCTCAAATCACATTCTAATGGTCCTTCTCGTATATCTGACCGTGAAAAGAAGGCTCCATTGAAGACTTGATTGAGCCACATAGCGGAGCTGCTAGTTCTATTTGCTGATCTGGAAGGATGGATGTGCCAGGTATTACGATTGAAGAACGAGCTATACAATGAAAATAGGTAGAGGTTTCTTCAACTTTCTGAAGTGAAAACTATTTATCATAAGTGGCTAGAAGATTTCAGTGTTAAATTCTATATTTGATCAGCTTACACTCTAGAACAAGTATAATATCTGGGGACATGCATTTTTCCTCCATATAATATTTACTGATGTTAATTTGTGAAATATTAGATAAAAAAAATTTATCTTAAAAAAATCATCTTTTTTCATAGAAATGAGTCACAGGGGAAATTCTCCCCCAGTAACTCTAACGTTATAAGAAGTATTCCAGCTTTTAATCAATCACTTATTAGTGGCAATGAACACAGGGAATTGTTCCAAAATCACAAAGGAAATGAACCAAGAGTTGTAATGTTCACTTGGTAGACTAAATAAATATGCTTGAGCTATTCAATGTGGAGAACATAATAGATAAGAAACAAACACCCATTACAGAAAATGAGTCACCAAATGAAAATAAGACAGATTAGATACTACGTATACGTACCAGCTTACATTCAAAGGTTGTTAAACTAGAACGTGTAGTGAAAACCCAGATTGCAAACGATAACAACTATAGCAAGGTGTCTCAGTTTCAGACATTTTGATGAAGATGTCCTAAGCGTTAATAACAATTCAAATATGCCTCCGCGAGAGATGGTGTTGTACTAAAGGAAAGGATTACAACAGAATAGGTAGATAAAGTAGCATATGGAGTTAAGAGAAATCCAAAACTTGTTTTCACTTAATGTTAGATGAAACTACTTTCAGAAGTAGTGGAATAAGGATTACGAGTCATTAATAATAGCTTGAACAACAACAAATCTGTAACAAAACAACAAAAATAGTACATACGAAAACACATGACTTTATGGTCCATGATAATCAATTCTACTGTTCCTCATAAAGCACTTGGAACACAGTAAGATGCTTTTTAAAACAGGAACATAAAACACCTACAGATGATCTAAACTCAAATCTAATTAACCAGTCAACTCCAACACAACTTCTTCTCTACTCTTTAAGGATTCTAATTTCTTCAAAAGAAACATGAAGCTGATTATTCACATTCTTATCCAAATATATTGGAATGTGATTTTAATGTGGAAAGTGAATCCTAAATGCTAATACAACTAGATATTCAAGCTAAAAGAAAATATAGTATCAAGCTAAGTTATTCTTGCAACAAAAAGTCATTTACAAGAAAACGCCATCTCCAATAACCCAAAGTGATAGGAAGAATAAGCTAGTATATATTGTAATTTATGAACAGCAGTAGGCATAGTATGAATCTGACACAAGAAGTAGAAGTAATACCATCAACCATTCACATTAAGAACTTATAGAACCTCTCTTCAGATCCACAGATATGAAACAATATAAAAGTAAATGCTAGTTGATTTTGCAAAGTGAGGCAAATTTGAAAGAGACAGATAGAATGAAAAGGGAAAACATATAGAATGAGAAGAAAATTTAATGTTCCTCCACTCTTCGCTTGTAAATTGCTCTATAAATCCTGCTATCTGCACCTGAAGCAAACTTGTGACCTATAAATGTCCCAACTTTCAACATTATTAGACTCTAATATCATTGACAATAATTCGAAACTATCAACTCTTTCCTTATCTATTGTTTCCATATCTAGATGCCTCATTCCCAAGAATCATAAACAACATAATCTGGCTGAGGAATCATAATTAAACACAGTATCTACTTACACGTAACATATCATATGCACAATACTTATTAAAAGATTTTTGAACCATTTTCTCAGGAGGAGGACAGTATAACCAATCTGATGATTCCGTTATTGAGGATTGTGCAGACGTATCCATTCCAATGTATACACAGAGAAGTACTAGAAGACAAACCATCTGCGCAATACAGGTACATCTCTTACTACTTCAACAACATACATAGTCACATATACACAACCCCTGTATTCGGTACACAAGTTCCGTATTTGTGTATACAATAATTATAATGTCTACCACCAAACTTATCGGACAGGTGGATACAATAAAACTTGGAATTTGGGCCCTCAAAGCTATACATGTCAATATTGCAGTGCCATTTCATGGTATAAGAAACGGAAAGACAAAAGCGAAAAACCCTAACAGTGGTGCGTTCATTTACAACATACATAAAGGTATGTTCTTTTGCAGGTTTAACCATTCTGTTGACGCCCAATTTTTGTCCACCCTGATATGATTAATTCACCAGCTTTTTAATTATCAGACAATTTACAATAATTTTTTTTTATAAAATTCAAATATTTTAAGTAATTTTGGTCGACTTTTATAATTTCATAATTAGATAATATTTCATATGTATTCCATAAATATTTGAAAATTTGATTTAGTTTTAAATTATGGTTTTTTTATTTATCATCAGCTTGTAATTAAAATTAATTATTTTACTTTGTTAAAATTAAGAAGCTCGTTGATTAATTGATACGAATTTGTCTTATTTAAATCTTAGTCAAATTCCTTAAATTAATTTAATTTGACTAGTCTAAGACATAACCTTTTCCTCTAAACCCATTTGGAAATCAATCTTGGGCCTGTTTCCAAATTACCAGCCCACTTCAACCCAAATCTCCTTTATTTTCTTTCCTTCTCCCCATTAGAAACCCAACCTTTTCCTTCTACCCGACCCAACACCAAATTTAATTCCCAGCCCAAAATTCGCTTCTCCTTCAAACCCGACTTCTGTACCTTCTTCCTCTTCACGTTCCACCTGCAGAATATACGCGCAGGAAAATTCCTAGAAAACAGAGCCTCCCGTCTCCCTCACGCGCAAGGTATTCCAAGAAACGTTATTCCTTGTTTTTGTCTTCTTCCTCGTGTAGCCCCAACGTCGCGCGTCCCCTTCCCTCTCCCTTCGCGCTCGTACAAGCGCAGTTAGAGCAGCTGCAACCCTCGCTCGTACAGCCTCTGCAGCGCACAAGAGGACGCGAAATCGTCCTTGGCGTTGTAGGATCGAGCCACTTCGCCTGCTCGGTACAGTGAGGCGATCTCCACCCTGTACCGCCCTTTATTCCGTTCGAATCGTCTGTATTTGAATAGAATTTTGGAATTTGAATTTTGAATTTGGGATGGGCCTGAAGCGGATTTCTTCCAGCTCTCTCCTTTTCGCAAACCCTAATTATTTCTTCTATATAAACCCTCCTCTTCCGATAATAAAGGGGGTTGGAAAAATTTGGTTTAGGTTTCATTGCAAGGATTTTTCTACTGTTCTTCTTCTGTCCAATTTTTGAGAGGATTTTTCAATCCATATTAGAAAGGTTTTCTAAGAACGAAATAGTCATAGAGGTAAACTGAGGAAACTGAAGAAGAAACCGAGAGATACTTTCTATTTCGTCATAGTGTTTGCGACTGTGGTATTCCATTGAAACGTCTTAGTCGTGGTTCGTGTTTTCTTTTGGTGTTGAAGATCATCCTCGTTTAGCTCGACTGTCCCTGTTTTGCGGCTCCAAAGAAAGTATATTTTCCATTTTTTATAAGTTTTCTTTATGGAACTCGAACTGTGGCTTTTGTTGCTGTAAATAAGAGATGTTACACCGGATGGATTTGCTTAAATCCGAGATATATCACATGTTATGGTTTGTTTTGTTGTGTTCGTTTGTTTTGTGTTGATCTCTGCTTTTTTCTGAGTTCGTTATGGTGTCGTTGCAAACGATCTTCTCGTGTTGGTGTTTGCTGTTAAGTTGTTTAATTGTTCAAAACTGGGAGGTATTCCGACTTGTAGTGTCGAACAAGTTGTGTAGTTTTCCTTTGTATATTTAAGCAACTGTCCAACTTCCTGTCTTATTCATACCATTCTGCTCATATCGTTTTGCATGATTTGTTCATTTCTGTTCGTTATTAAGAGTTAGATTGATTATTATTCTTCTGTTTTTTTAAACTTAAACATGAGTTAAATATGTTTGAGGATAATGGATGCCTTTGGATGTTGTTTTCTAGCCCAAGATTGTCATTGATTTTTTCTTCTTCATATTTTGCGGTTACAGCTCATTTAGATCTCATGTCGTCTCACTCATCTTAGTTTATTTTCTGTTTGTTTTGGATATGAATAATTGTTTGCATCTCAAGTTGAATAAATGAACTAAGATGTCAATATTTCGAGTTTGCGCGATTGTATTTTCCACTGTTTGGGGAGTCATTATATCTTATTTGTTACCGCTCATTTAGATACTTTGTTAGGCTATTTTCATAAGTGCATACCCATATTATTGTTGTTGCATGAAGTTTGCTGCCGATTGTTTTATTCATAAGGTACATGTGAAGTTATGGAAAGTAAAGGGAGGGAGTATTAACCCATGTGTTTTCATTTGTTTTCCTTCATGACAGTTTGCTGCTTGTATGCCCAAGACTTATATGGTTCGATATGAATGTATTTCCTTTTATGTGTGGTTTGGTTCATTCGATCGAGTAAATATCATAATCTTTAAATGCGCTTTTTTTATCTCTTTAGGCTGCCATTCATCCTACTATTTTTTTTATCGTGTTTTTGTATGACATCCTCTCGAGTCCATTTTGAGACTCCTTTTCCTCCTTGCATTTCGGAAGAGCCATAAAGGCTCGAAATTCTTTCCCTCGAGTCAACCCATCAAGGCAGACGTACAATGCAAATGATTAAAGATTGAAGAAAATTTGAAGAAGGCGGATTAGAAGATCAAATTTAATTCATTATGTTGTATTATTTTGGGCATAAGCCTTGTCGTTTATTTATTTCATTTTGTATTTATTGTTTAGAATAGGACAGGTGAAATGGGTCGAAAACCCAAACAAAAATGGGTTGAAAAACCTAAAAAGCAGGTGGGTCCAAATTTCGGTCAAGGCGGACAGAACTCTCTCTCTCTCTCCCTCTTTTACCATATTGATTATATGATTTTGTTTGATTGTTGTTAGCTTAGAGTTAGAAAAACTCCGACCCCTCGTTAAACGTCATACTGTTTTATCAAACTTAAAATTGAACCAAATTTCAAATTCATAATATTTCAAACTTGTATGTTTTGCCTAGATTAAAATTTAGGAAGTTCAATTTCAAACAAATTTGCAAATTTTAAAACAAGTATTAGCCAAATAGTTAGTTGCCGGAAAGCCGCATTAAGCGGAACGTCTTAGGTGCCTTCAAAACCTTCCTAGTACGTTAATAAGAATCGCTGAACCCTTTTGAATGTTTACAAACGATTTTTCTATTTATGTTATTTGAATACAAGTTTTCTTAATTTTCTTAAAAAATTAAGTGGCGAATCCCTAAAAAGTTGAAAATCTCTTAAAACAAAATAAACTCTCCGATTTTTTAATAAAATAGAAATGGCGACTTCGCTGGGGACCAGGAGGATTCTAACCATAAAATTAACGCTATTTGGTTATTTGTGATAAACTGTTTAATTGCTTAGTTGCTTTTGTTTTGAAACTGTTGCATTCATAGCATATCATAATTCTGTCAATCGACATTTATTTTATTTCCACTAAAAGGACGATTATGCGGGTTAGCAGTCGTTCGTTAACCAATATTTTCTCGGGGCACCCTAACGAGTGTAGTTGGCTACTTAATAGTCAACGATCGTTAACTGTCCCAGCCCAAGTAGTCCGCTTGGGTTACCCATTCCACTTTAAATACAACCCACTCTTAGTCCAACTAAGATAGAGCAAAACCCAATCCTGAAAAATAGCGCATTGGCCTAAGACGACCCAAGGAGTGTTGGGCCTGTAAGAAAGACCACCTTGAGTTCAAAGAGCCTACGACTCGATAGGACGATCATACTTGTGTGTTCTGAAGAATGTATTGCGTGTCTACCTGATTGTTGTATCGGGGGGGGGGGGGGTTAAAAATTAACTAGTTGTATGTTTTTGTAGATGTCGAGTCAATTCCTCCATTTCAACATGGTCACCCAGACGCCCGATATTCTTCGCGTATGGTGGGACAACCTCAAAGAGTGTCAAAAGAGAGAAATCTCGATTTACTTAGGTCACCTACCTTCAATAATGAACTTCAAGGTATGGCCCACGTTTATCGAGGTTATCACTCGATTTTGGGACGACGAGAAGATGTTCTTTCGATTCGGAGATGTCGAAATAACGCCCAGAATAGAGGAAATCAAGGACTTCCTTGACTCAATTAGGACATGTGGAAAAAGGAAAAAATGTCCGAATCTTCACATTCTCCTTCTAGATAAGCCAACTAGTAATGAATTGAGAAACATATTGTTGCTAGTGGATGCAAATTGGTTAGAGACCCACGACATACTGTTAATGAGATTTTTCGACAGATGGGGGCATGGCAATTATTTCAGACTATTCCCGAACGAATTCCACGATTACAGTACTCGGAGGCAAACTCAGGCTATTGCTTTCTATGCATGCCTTTTAGGAACTATGGTGTTCCCTAAATATGAAGGAAAAGAAATCGACACACGGGTAGTGATGGTGGTGGATGCTACATTCAGAGGAATCGGTAGAAAATCAGAAGAAAAGAAGTAATGCTGTTTGGCCCCAGTCATTTTGGCCGACATTTGCCAATCCTTAAGTCTGTGTAAAAATAGATTCTCGTTTTTTCAAGGTTGCAATATTCTACTCCAATGGTGGTTGACTGAGCATTTATGTAAAAGGGACAACCTCCAGCCACATGAGTTGGCCAAACAAAGTCAGACAAGTCCTCTTGATAATTACGAGTTCTACCTAAGTATCCGTGATTTCCAATTCATATGACCAGGGATGCGTAGGGAAATGTGTTTTATGATTTGAAAGAAGGAGAAATATAGTGGTTGTTGCCGAGCTTCAAGTACTAGAGGATAGCAGCACAAGGGGCCAAACTTTCATTTTTAGTCCTTCCTGGCATCAGAGGACTGCGTCTTTACAACCCAAACGAGAGTGATACGATAATTTGGTAGAGTCAAAGTCATACCCGTCCAAGGAGATGCCAACCCTTTCATTGTCGATCACAACGAGAATGACAAAATACCTTTCGCTAAGATCATCCTCCAGGAATGGGTTGGGCGTGTCAACATGAAGTGGGAGGTGACCGAGAACAGGTATGAAGTTGGGTATGTCGATGAATACAAGACATGGTCGCACAATGATCTGCATGGTGTAGTTAATCCAATACCATGTATGGGTCGAAGAATCGAAGACGTACAAACAAGGCTTCAGATTCATGCATACCATTTTCAGCAAGAGTGG